GCAGGAACAGTGGCAGCTGAGAGCTCCAGGCCACTTTGAAATGCTAGGCCCCTATACAGTTGTCTCCTTTGTCTCACCCCGCCCCCCGCCACAAGCCTGCTCAGATGTTCAAACACATTCTCTGCCAGATTTTCAGTCAACAGCCTACTACTGTTGAAGCCTGACTTTGACCAGACCTACTCGCCAGAGCCAACATTGTCCCTCTCCTCCCACCCAGCCTCTATATCTGGTTCTACTCTTAGTGAACTCTCACAGAAGCTGTAAAAGCAGCTACGATGGGACGTGGAGAAATTTCCTAGCACTGAAGCAGCACCATAAGGTCTGATGTCCACAGATCCATGCAGATCCTTTCATAGCTACCAGTGTGGAAATTGTATTGAGAGCGAGAGGGAATTTAGCTACAACACTCAGAGTTTCACAGCCTCCTGTAAGAGCAGGCCTTTGGCTGCATCTTCTATAGTGGCTCTCAGGAGCCACAGCATAGAGTCTGGTCCCATCATATCAAACCAGCCGGATAAGTTTCTTTGATAGGATAACAAGCCTGGTGGTTAAGGGAGAAGGGGTAGATGTGGTATATCTATATATTAGTAGGGCATTTGATACAACAGTCTCGCATGACCTTCTCATAAACAAACTAGGAAAATACAACCTAGGTGGAGCTACAATAATGTGAGTGCATAACTGGTTGGATAACTGTTCCCAGAGAGTAGTTATCAATGGTTCACAGTCATGCTGGAAGGGGATAACAAGTGGGGCTCCACAGGGATCAGTTCTGGGTCTGTTCAGTTCAGTATCTTCATCAGTTTTTTAAATAATGGCAGAGTACACACACTTACAAAGTCTGTGAATCATGCCAAGCTGTGGGGTAAGGTAGCAAGTGCTTTGGAGGATAGGATTATCATTCAAAATGATCTGGACAAACTAGAGAAATGGTCTGAGTTAACAGGATAAAATTCCACAAGGACAAATGCAAAATATTCCACTTAGGAAGGAACAAGCAGGTGCATGCATACAAAATGGGAAATGAATATGTAGGAAGGAATACCAAGGAAAGGAATCTAGGGGTCATAGTGGACCAACAGCAAAATACGAGTTTACCTTTTTTGCAACAGTCACATGGTT